AGCTCAATACCTTGCCGAAGGGGGTATGAACGAGCTTGTCGCGTTCACCACGTTTCATAATACTTTTATGGTGAAACGTAGATGGGTCTAAGCTCGACCACCGAACACGAAGAGTATGTTCTAGGGAGGTTGAAAATGAGCATCTACATACGAGTTCACGATAACATCTTCACGTAATGATAATCTAAGATTGGCTTTATCCATCTCTACCAACCCCGCTTTCCTCGTACGTACCAACGCTGCACTGCTCAACGGAGTCCTACACAGCAGCAGCACTCAACTAACATGAGCCGATAACACTTAGCCAACCTTCTGATGGTATCAATTCCCTCGAACTTCTGCTGCGATATCTTTATCTTGTCAGTAGCCGTTGACCATAGCCTCGGCACCTTCAGCGGCCGATCTTGCACGCGCTCCACTCTCCTCGTCGTATCGCCTGATAACGAAATAGATAGAACCACACGGTCTGCTGCAACCACCTATAGGATTCAGCACGGGCTTGCTTTCGAACATAAGCTTCCATCCACGTCTAGTACTACCACCACTGTCGAGACGTCCCGTCACAGCTCGTCGCTCAGTAGTGAGCAATAGCTCTCGAATCGGTCTTAAAAGAGATATCCGAAACCGACCTAGAGGCTAGTGGTACTCGCATATGATGGATCTAGCATCGATGGGCGTAGCGTTCCTCCCATGCTTTTCAACTGCACGCTGAGCAACAAGCTTACATATATCGCTCGGGAATTCCACAACGTATCTGTATGATAACCACCACTGAGGGTAGCCTTACAACGCATGTTGTTATACCTCAATAATGGTGTGCTATCATCGAACTCATCATGGTCATTATCATACACAACCACAATTACAGACTTCACGCGATTAAGTAGTAGAGCCTCATGCAGACCCCTACATGCTAAATGTACCTGTTGGTATGACGAAGACTGATGTTATATCATACGAGCGATATCTCTTTATGGAGCCATCTTATACTGTATATTGTACGTTCGGAGGACCCCCCTAAACGTCCCCTCAAACTACATAGTCCTGTAGTGATCGGCACTTGCATTTCCATGCAGTGAATGCTCCTAGACCAGCACCGACATCAAATATAGATATCCGCTCGAAAACAATCCTGAAACGGTGAGATGAGACTGTCTATCCATAAGGTCATTCATCCATCTACCGTGGATAAACCTCAGATACCAGTAGTGTGGTATAGATCCAGGTCTCTACCGCAGTTACCAAGTCGTTTGCTACACTATCCCGCAGCTTCTTATTGTCCATCGTTGCTGTGATGACGCCTTGGTGAGGAAAGCATCACCGTCGTAGTACAACCAACTGATGGGAAGGTCGACCATTCCACCTGATTCGACATATTGTCACTGATTTGCTGATTGAGATAACACCACACTAAATGTAATAGCCGGAGAAGGTCTGATCGAACTTCATCGATGTAGACTATCTTGAAACATCATAGTATATGCTGAAAAGTATTATTTAGGTTTATTATACTCTATAGATTCATCATTATTTAGTATTTATTTAGAAATCCCTTGGTTAAGTTCATGATTCATAAACTTAACCAAGGGATCTCTTCACCCGAGGGAGACACATTGTGTGCTACGAATTGGTGCACCAGCATCTTCCAGTAGACTCCCACACAGGAAGCTACACCTGTGCTGCTCTTAGTAAGATCGATTCTGCCAGTCAGGGCGGCTACTATGAGCTATGAGCTCATACTATAAGCACGTATCCATATACTCGGCTCGCCTTTACTCGTTACTCGTTACCTATATCCAACTTTCAGGTATATATACGAGCCCCTCGAGAACTTTGAAAATAGCACAGCTCAATATAGTTTAATGCAAAAATCGTTGGTATGAGAAATGAAGAAATTCAGAATATTCTGTGTAGTTACCTACATACTCGATGAGATATCTCGCGGTGTAGTTCTGGCGAAATCGATTTCCGCCTTTCTTCGAAATTGAGCTTACTTTAGATATGCCAGCGAAATTGATTGTACTAATGACACGTGTCGTCGAAATTGATTTTTCTATCGAGCGCGCTGGCGAGATTGATCTAAGGCATATCTTGGCTTAGATGATTGCTCGCCCTGTGGAATTGATATTATTAAACGCGAAATAGGCCTTTGAAAGGTGTATATGTTTACTGAGTTTACGATAAAATGGAATCATATAATGTATACTAATTTTTTATCAATTCATCAATAACACTGACTAAAGCGAGGAACTATGACATGTGACACTTCAATGCTATTGTATAACAGGATTCTACGCATTAGATCATTTCATATGATGGTAAGCTCAGTTTCCAGTTCGGTATAGTACAGCCGACCACTAGCATTACGATAGGCGGTCAATGAGGGGTTCATTATCTCTGTGAGCTGATACATGACGTACCGGCCTCTCCAGTGACACGCTGAACCGCACGTGTGCACACGTGCTAGCGACGGCGACACTTACTCATCTGCAGACTCAAAGGATGCAGCGTGGGAGGCTGTTGTCGAGTAGAAATTGACGACGTTTATGAGATTACTGATAACCAGCGAGATGGGCATGTGATAACAAAGGTCTGTGTCGCCCAATACTTAGCGATGCATCTGTGCTAAGACATACTTTCTAACGATTCAGCAGCCCGGAGGTCACCTTTCAAGAGCCTGATGCTTAAATGCATCGAAGATAAACAGTAGCCACAGTTCGTATAGTGGATGCAGCTTCATCGTCAGGAGGGTGCTGTATTAACGTCTTGTCTCTCCGGAGTGCACCTGGTACGAATACGGAGGATGGTTATTACTCCTCAGAATTGTCTACTAATGTCATCTTTACGTAAGCATAGTCCAAAGGATCCCCCTTTGACATGGTCTAAAACCGAAATATCTATTTACATAACATACCTCGCTCTCGCGTTGTTGTATGCTATGGATAGCGTAAGGAGGCTCGGTGATGAGCTCTTGGCTGAGGGCCGACTGAAGCCCCTTTATACAGGTAGTAGTGATAATGGAGTAATCTACGGTCATGCTCTGCTAGGTTCACTGCCCTTTACTGAGCGTCTAGCCGATTGGTCTGACCACCAGTGGAACTCGTTCCGATTAAATCTGTCATCAGTCGTAGTGTTCGCTACCCTCCATACCGTCGCATCGAGGTACTCTGTTGAGCTCCCTGAAATGAATGACGATTTTTTTCACAGGTGTATACGGTATTACATGGGCCCTCGCGGATACGTCGCGTTTCAGCTCGTTATGAGTACTTGCTTTGCAGTATACCTTCATCGAGCATACGCGGCGTTCTTGATGGGAGCGTTACTATCTAATAAGGTTTTGGTTGAACGCATGCTGCGGCCAGGGAAGGATTCAGTACAATTTAAATGGGTAGTAGCTAGAGGCGAATAATCAAACTTAGGAATGAGTTTTGGGTCAACATATTATCACCAGACTAACTCAGGAAAGCTCGCCCCTTTATTCAGGTTCCCGGCATCATGTGGGCAGTGAACATGGGCTTCCTCGTATCTGTGCGATACTTCGATGGGTTTCATTTCAGCGCGATAGCTCCATGGCTCGCATTCCTAGACGGGTAGGTCGCCCTAGAGGATGCCTTAACGGTGATAACACACCTCAGATGGGGGCAATTACAGCGATGGCAAATAGTGTACAATATGGTGATGTTGCGGATGATATCATACGCAATGGACTTCTACTGGGCGGTACGGGACAGCAGTCTGCCGAGCTCCCCTCTGGGAACTGCAGTGAAGGATCTGGAATCTGATGATGATAATACAGAAGTAGTATTCATAGTGAGGCATAGTTGACGAGGTTGTATGCTATAGGTTAGCAAGCCTGTTACTCCTGATGGTGGTAGCTACAAAACTAGAGTGAAAACAAATCTCCCTTTACGATTTTATCATTCTACTGTATTATACTTGGTAGTATTATGGGCTGTGTATTATGAAACGAATTGTATCAAAGGGCGATCTATTAGGGTGATCATCATCATATTCGTTGAGCGGTGCGGTTTTATCAGGCCTATATTCTTTATCTACCACTCTACGCTGCTGGTCCTATAATAACATTCAATTCTTTCGTCACATATGTATACCAACCGCAAAAGTCGTATTCTATTAAAAAGGTAGTACTACAGCTCAGTGACTGTATATGAACGTGTCTGTGATTAGATAGTCGTGTACGCTGTTCGTTGGGCTCTGTGTCTTACATTGATGTCTCTATATCAGCATTTCTGTTGGGCTAATATAATAGCCAAAGGCTCCGACAGTGCTCAGGTGTGTCGGTGTGCGAATTCATGTATGCCGAGTATTCCCTCGTTGTTGTTTCAGAACCTTGCCGATATGACCGGTCCCAACCTCGTATTCGTGTCACTTTTCGTAGGTCTTCTCATGCGCACATCTCTCCGTAGGAAACTGTTGCATTCTTAGTCGCTATTTTTCATTTGGCTGAAGTTCGTTATCATCTGGCGCTTCTTTCGACTTTGGGCGCTTTGCGATGGTGTAGAAACGCCAGAGAACATGACTCGATGCGTCTTCAATAATTACAGTACGCCATTCTCACATACTCGATTGTTCGACTTTGGCTGGCATTCGCAGGTTGCACACAGTTCTGGCGGTCATGGCACAGGTCATACAACCAATGGCTTATCCGGTACATCTACATACCATTAGGAGGTACCAAGTACAAGTTCCTAAATGTAGTACACCTCATCAGTAGTAACGCCAAATTTCGTACTGGCAGATCTGGGTTGTCTTCACCTTCGTCGCGGTGTGGCATGAACTACAACTACAAATGCTCCAATGGGCATGGGCTGTCTGTGCAATGATGATACCTGAGATAATTGTATCCCTTACTATTCAGAAGCAGGATTGGGCCATACCTTTGAGGCATTCTCCATGGTCAGGAAGACAGAGCTAAGTTGTTGCATCACTGTGTAAAATAACTCAGGTATAAGTATCTATGTGCTCTTGGTGCTGCCATGAATATCCTACTATTGATGTCTGCTAATCTTATTGGATTCTCATATGGGTCTAATGGACTTCATATCGTCATGAGTGAGTGCTAGTGTATATCGAACTATTACTATGAGGTGTGTTTCTGCAGATTCGATTAAGAAAGGCTTCAGCTCGGGTCCGAGTTTAGCCCTATTCTTAGCGTTTCTGTGCGCCGCGCATGTGATGTTGTACGTCCGTCAACAAGAGGCTCTTAGGAGAGAGCCATCGGTAGAGTCGGCAGTGCCAATGGCATCCATGAAAATGGCTGCAGCTGAATGAAAAATAGAATGTTGTATTGATGTAAAATTATTACTGGTCTAGCTAACCGTCGAAAAACTATTGTTCGACTCTAACTGTGCGATTAGTTTCCTCGCCAGATTGGCACTTGTGTTACTCCGTGCTTTGATGTTTTGACCAATAACATCCCCGTGAGTAACTACTGTAGTCAGACTACATGAGGGTCCTCTTTGGGAGGCTTCCCTGAAACCTTACCTTGTCATGAATACGTTCAGCGAATTACGTTGCCGAATATATAGCATTAGATTCGGATAATCTGAATTTCGGGCAAAGCTGCTGATAAAATGTTAGATGTGATACGAAAGCTTTTACCGAATAAATATTTTTCCGTTCTTCAGGACCTATAACAAAGTGACGTACTTAACCCACTAGTGCAAGCTACTAATCATCGGTATACTCGACAGAGACGTCTCCAGTCGACTTGGCCTATTCTAGTATACTGTCCTGTTTCCTGCCACATGTATTCTCTTTGTTACGCTGCACAGAACGTACGAACGAATTAGTCGGCTATTCTTCTCATACTCCTATCTTGACCAGTCTACATCAACCCACTAAAACTAATTTGAACAACTACACCATAAAACCATAAACATCACCAACACAACCTCTCACGAAACAGACAGAAAACATCAGAGTTGCACCACTAATAGCAGAGCTACCATATCATAGCGGCGTCAACCGTAGAAAGAGAGTATAAGAATGGTCACTGAACGTGACGATCGATTCTCGTTAGAGTAAAGCTCCTCTCACTCAAAGACGAATCACTCACAGGAATATCCAATGGCAGCAAATGCTCGTAGCCTTGTGTTCACTGGATCCTAGGGATGCTGATGAATACTCATGTGAGCTTTGTCAACTTCGATAGAGTGCTTGATACATCCTCTAGTTCGTTACGTCAAAGGTGTCTCATTAGTGACCATATAAACCTTCGTGGGAACGGTCTGCTTCCTTTCGGTACATGCTAGGCACATATTCTTCTTGCCGCATTTAACACCAATACTCATTGGAACGAAATGAACAAGTCTTGGGACAGTTCAACCGAGTGATAGCAATACTGATGGTATAGCCACTCTCTCTCGCTCGCTCGAAGCCGATTTCTGCTAGGCGGCCAGCCAATGCCTATCAC